GGAGGGTGAAACCCTCTGTGCACAGGCGCCTTCTCCCCTTAGGCTGCTCTCTGGGGTGCCTCAGATGGGGGCTGCACGCAGCTGGCCACATTTGTTCCCTGGTGGAGGCTGGATGTGGGTGGGTGGGTGGGTGCAGTTATGAATAGCTCCTAAGAACAATAGATACCGTGGAAATGCTTCAAGAACAGCAGATATTTTCTTTTAAAAAAGGAAGCCAGAAATTAAAGTGAAAAAGAAATGAATAAAAAATAAAAACTACATTGTTCTCGCTCACTCACTGGTCCAAATCTATGCCTACCTCACACACACAGGCAGACACAGAGCAATGTGTGCATTGCCGAAGTAAGTGGCTAAAGCAGATTGCTGGGCAATACACAAGACAATCCCATGTTTCTATCAATGGAAATGATAAATTACTAGCAATTTCATGTAGTTTCATGGTAATTTATGTGTTTATCATAGGCACGGCTGATCATATATATAAAAATACTAAAAAAGATAAACTAGACTTGTCTATACAACTTAACATTAATAGTTGTTGCCTCTTAATGGCGGAATTATGTTTTTTCTTTTCCCTTTGTGCTTGTCTGTATTTTTTTAGTTTGCATGCAATAACTACCTCGTAACCATAAATAATAAAAATGGTTTTCAAAGAGAACATGACAGTTGAACACACTATTAAAATTATTTTAAAAATACTTTTGCACCTTTAACTTATAAATGCACACAAAAAAAGATTCTAAGGTTGAATTATAATTACTTCTTGCTAATTTCTGTTTACCCAGAAGGTACTTCTCAGTATGTTAGACCCAGGGAATACTGTTGTGATTTTCCGAACTCCAGCTCAGCTGTTACTGGCTCAAAATTGCAACGTTTCTCTGTGTACAGGATATAGAGGGACCCCTCTGGGCTCATCTGTATACCATAGCTACCCCAAGGCCCCTTAGGGAGGCTGAGACTAAAGTTGACCACACAGAATCCCCAAGTTGTTGCCAAGAAATGGTCCTAATCACAAAAACACAAACTGCAATTAATCAGGATCTCTTGGAGTGGGGCCCAGGCATGGGTATTTGTTTAAAAAGCTCCCCAGGCGATTCTAATATGCAGCCAGCATTAAGAACCATGGCCCTAATGGATTAATTTACTAAGGGGTCGTTTGAACTTGGCCTTTGGAGAGAGGTAAAATTAAAGCTGAGAGGATTTGGTTGACCAAGGCCAAGTTGTTGCCTCGCCCTTAGCTTTGTGAGGAAATGATTATGCAAACAGAATAGCAGAACATTGAGCGTGGAGTGGGCAGTTCTTGCAAAGCTAGTGAGGTCAGTGGGTAGCCCTCTCTTGCATTCATAGGAGAACAATCTCGAATCAGAGATTTCTTGTTGGGAAAATGCTCTGTGTTGGCAGCTTGCTGTCAGGGTACTGTTATTTCACAAAATACCGCAGACCCCAATTTTGATGCTGGTGCCAGGGGATCAGAGGCCTCTGGCCTTTTCCATACACGGCTGCGTGCTGACACAGAAGACACACTGGACCTTCTCGTGACAAATCCCGCCGTACAACAGCAGCCCTTTGAATAATTTTTACTCTGCTTCAGGAAATCATTTGGAATGAATTTTTCTGGAACATCTTCGGGTGAAGCAACCCTAGGGGCCTGCAGTCCCTGCCTTTCTTAAGTTTTACCTCACCTTGGACTCAAACCAGCAGAGATCAAAATGAGACTTAAGTTTAACTTCCATTCAAGTAGCCCCGAAATTCACTGAATTTCTGATTGGGGTGCAGGACGCGTCTTCAGGCAGCGGCACACCCGGGTCCTCATCAACATGTCAGAATCACATCATTAGGTGCCATTTATGGCATTGACTGATGCCAAACATCCGCCAGCTTTGTGTTTCTCGGCGTCTCCTCAGTAACACCCTTCAAGGGCGCTTTTATTCCCATTTTACTGCAGAGAACACTGAGGTCACACAGAACGTGGACAACTGAAGATTAAATCCAGTTCTGACCCCAAGAGTCTGCCCTGGCTCCACAGTGCCACGTTGCCAGTAACAGGGCTCGAGAGCTGCCCTGTGTCCCCTCGTCAGCTGACTTCTCTGTCCCCTGAGCACAGCCTGGGCTTCTCAGCCTCATTCACATTCTGCCTTCAGATCTGTACCCTACAGAACTCTCCTCCAATTTTTTTCAGAGCGTGGCTATATGAGATTTGGTTTCCTGAGGAGGGTTGCACATCTCCCCTGTTTTTAGTGGAGTTTCATTTTGCTACCCAGAGCAATCTTCATTCCTGTGGTTCAGAAGGCAGGAGATACTGTTAGGCTCAGGCAGAGCTCTAGACAGATGTTCTGCCATCTCCTTGGGTCCACGTGGCCACACATCACTCCAGCTGGGATCACTGCCCATCACATCAGCTGGGCCTGCCCACATTGCTGTGCCCACCCCAAATGCCTCCCCATATTGTGCAGTAAGCAAAAACTGAAGTTTGCTTAAAACCTACAAAGTCCTTTTCCTCTGATTCTGGAATGCATTAGCATCTGGACTTTGAGAGGTACCACCTGCTCTCGGGAAAGCCAGTGCTGTTGAGTTTGTGTGGTCAGGGGAATACAAGTGTTCTCTGTTTTAAGAAACCTGACGGTGTAGAAATCTGCATATGATCATATAAACCTGAACACATTATTGTCTTTTAGGAGGAATTCTCATTTTATGTTTTTAATTTAATTTTTTTTGAGACAGTCTCACTCTGTGCCCTGCATAGAGTGCTGTGTCATCACAGCTCACAGCAACTTCAAATTTCTGGACTCAAGTGATCCTTTTACCTCAGCCTCCCAGTTACCTGGGACCATAGGTGTCCTCTAGGACATCAGCTAGCTTTCCTATTTTTAGTAGAGACGAGGTCTCACTCTTCCTTAGGCTGGTCTCCAACTCCTGAGCTCAGGCAGTCCATCTGCCTTGGCCTCCCAGAGTGCTAGGGTTACAGGCAAGAGCCACCCCACCTGGCCTGAAGTTTTCATTTTAAAGAATTGCCAGAATTTACCTTTTCCCATCTCACTTTTCACCACCATATATATATATATATATATATATTTATTTATATAATGTGGCCCATTTGGAAGTGTGTGCTCTACATAGGCCTTTATTTATTTTATTTTATTTTTTTGAGACAGTCACCCTCAGTAGAGTGCTGTGGCATCATAGCTCACAGCAACCTCAAATTCTTGGGCTCAAGTGATTCTCTTGCCTCAGCCTCCCAAGTTGCTGGGATTACAGCCACCCACCACAATGCCGGCTGTTTTTTGTTTGTTTGTTTGTTTTTTTAAAGAGATGGGGTCTCACTCTGGCTCAGGCTGGTCTAGAACCAGTGAGCTCGGGTAATCCACCTGTCTCAGCCTCTCAGAGTGCTAGGATTATAGGCATGAGCCACCATGCCCACCCTACTCAGGACTTTTAAAAACTACTTCCATAAGGAATCAGACAGCAAAATACACAAAAGCTGTATTTATGGCTCGGCGCCTGTGGCTCAAGTGGCTAAGGTGCCAGCCACGTACACCTAAGGTGGCGGGTTCGAATCCAGCCCCGGCCCGCCAAACAACAATGTAACCGGGTGTTGTGGCAGGTGCCTGTGGTCCCAGCTACTTGGGAGGCTGAGGCAGGAGACTCGCTTGAGCCCAGGAGTTGGAGGTTGCTGTGAGCTGTGATGCCATGGCACTCTACCCAGGGGGACAGCTTGAGGCTCTGTCTCAAAAAAAAAAAGCTGTATTTAAAAACACACGGCATTTACATACTCCAGAGGCATTTTGTGAAAATCAGTGTTAAATGCAGAGGTAGGTAGGAAATGAAAGCTTTCTGTGGAGAACTCAGAACATAGCTGTGTTTATCTGCCTGGGAAGGGTTATGGTGCTGCCAGTCTGATGATATTTGTGAAGTTCTCAAATGTGTAGGAAGCCAGATTGTCTTCAGCTGAAAGCCTAAACCGAAATGACAGTCTCAGGCAGCGGGGCGCACCTTCAAACAGAAGAAGGGGACTGTGTGAGGTCTCTGTGATTCTGGAAGCAAATAGCAACAGCCTTGCAGTCTCCCAGTTGCCATCTGACCCCTGTGGGGGGACTGATGAGAGGATAGAACACTGCAGGAAGCCGCTGGAATCTTGGAACGATGTCAATGTCGGAAGGACATCCTCCCAGGTTTCTGTGTTGTGGCAGAGTCATGTTGGGCTGAGATGGCAGGGGCGTAGGGAGCGGAGGGAGGAGAGTGGCACCAAGTCGCCCTGTGACCTGTGAGACTCTTTGGTGATGGGACAGGAGCAGGTAGGTGGTTGGAGGGCACTAGAGTGGATTGACATAGACGGCCCCACTGAGCGCCGACCTCTGAGTCTCTGCTGAACACCTTTCCCTTTTATCCACCTCATCTGTCCAGGGCACGGCTTAAATACTGTGATTATAAAGTGATATCTTTTCTGTTGAGAGAGGTGATACAAATTTTTCACATCTCCACAGATGGAGATGTGAAACAAAAATGAATGCTTTTTTTAAAAAACAAATAAAATCCTGATGTGCTATGAATACTGCCCCCATACCCAGTGAGAATGGATAAACAGAGTGTGAACTCCCTACCCAGGCCATCATTACTGCAGAGAAGGCAGGAGCCCTTTAAATATTTATTCACTGGTTCGTTTTTCTATCATCATATACAGTGAAATGGCATTCCTCACCTGAGCAGGCTTCTGGCTGTGGATAAAAGCGGGGCGGGCTGCAAGCTCACTGCTCTCATCCTGCTGATAAGAATCTAGCCAGTGCAACAGAGAGAAATGCCAATAAACCAGAAGGAAAATAAATATTTTTTAAAATATTTCAAAGGAGAAAAATGAAGAATTAGAACGGAAACGTACTCCTACGGCCCACAGAAGTGGAGGGGATGATTTATTTAGACAAGTGGATATAACGTGGTACAGAAAATACATCTGCTCCGTGTAAATTTATTAAATGCAACTTTCTTTTTCTCTTTCTTTCTTTTAGATAAAAAACCTCTTCATGAAATAAAACCCCAAAGTAAGTTATTTTTCCTCTTGTGAATATAATTTATTCTCATCTTTGCTGCCTTACTGTTGTGTGTGTTTAGGGACCACAGAGACTTGAAGTTCCGATGAAAGCTCCAGGGCTTTCGGGGTTTCTCCTGATTGCGTTTGGAGTCACATGTCAAAGGTTTAAACTGGAAAGAAATGTGCACACCCCTTCGCCCCCTCAGAGTAAAAGGAAATCTCTCCCCTTGATTCTTTTTGCCTAAAAGTCCATTCCTCTGCAAACGTCATCTAAAATTCTGATTTCTGAAGCGATCTGTGGCATTAAAATTAATAAATATTTGTCATTACACGCTTTCAGGAGAACAGTCTTAGGGAAAAAATCCCGACTACAAGCCTCTCTACCTACAAGGAGAAGGGGGTGCCTGGTAGTGCAAGCCCAGAGCCTTACCTCCTGTGGACTCCATGGCAACTGGGTAGATTCGGAAGTGGAGTCCACAGTGAAATAATTATGAACTGAGAATTTTGGTGCCAGTGCTGGCTCCTGGAAGAGTCTTTGCTTTATTTTTATTTTATGCATCTTGTACATTTAGAGAAAAAGGAGCTTGAATGTATGGCAGCTTGGCATTTGACGCTACAGTTCTCAGCCTTCACTGTACTTTAGAGTCACTGGGAGGCTTTTTAAAAGTCCCATTCCCAGGCTGCATCCATGAATCAAATTTGGAGTAGTGGTTTTTCTTTAGGACCCAGGAATCTCTATTTTTTTTTTTTTTAAACAAAGCTTCTCAGTTGATCCATGAGCAGCTTAGGCTAAGAATCATGGATCTTAGAAAAATGTTTCTCAAAAAGTAAATCAGAGTCCAGATGCATCAGAATCTTGAGAGTGTGGTAGGAGCTTGTTAAACACCATCTTTGAACCACACAAATCCATTAGAATTCCTGGTGGAGTGGAGGGGGGACCCCAGAGCATCTGCTTGTTAATACGCTCCCCCAAGTCTCTCTCACACATTCAGAAGTATGTGAAGTCTGCTAGGTGACCTCAGGATACCAGGGCAACAGCAGCTCAGCTCTCGCCAGTAAGAGGAGAGACACCCCCTGGCTGGTTTGGTTTGTAAAGCCTGTGAAAGGTGTGCCTGCCCCGTCAGTGACGCTCATTCTAGTTTAAAAGGAATGACTTGGGCTCTTATAAATCCCAGGGTGTTAAAATTCAAAGAGCTTGGGAGAGTTAATAGCTTTTATGAACTAACTTCTTTGAAAGAATTAAAACCCTACAAGGACAGACAGAAATAGGTACCTTGGGACAGAGGTCAGAAGACATGAGGGAAGAGTCTAGCAAAGCCGTCACCCTCCTGCTCCCAACGCTGCCCCAGAGGGCTGGAGCTGCAATGGTGTCGGCACACGCAGAGTCTGAGAATTTTGTAAAATAACCAAAACACGTTTTTTGAACTTCTTTCCTTGCCTCCTAGGGACCTTAAAGGAATCATTGGTATTAGGTAGCTGACCTCTGACATCATGCATGTTGAGTTTGAACTCCTAGGCAGGCTGAAGTTGGGGGAACCTGGCTGTGTCTGTGTGTTTACATGTCCGTGGACATTGAGGGAGAGGGAAACATTTATCTTATGCCTGTGTCAAGATCCGAAGGGTGACACAGGAGTGCATGGTCCCTCGCCCTCCTCCTGGTCATACGGGACACACCATCCACTGGTTCTGCTGTTTATGTAACACAAAAAGACCGTAGAACTCTGTGTGGCGGCCAGTGTAAGAGTTACTTAGAAATCCATGTGTGTGTTTTAAAAATTAATTTCACGCTTAGTTTGTGAGTCCTGTGCCATTCTAATTTGGTTACATCTGTACTTCCAACCATAAACCCCACAGAAGCTATTCCTGGTCCTCAGGGACTCCTGGATCAGTTTGTGCCTGGGGTTCTCGCTCCTGAGCGCCATGCTTAATTGCTGGATGCTGCAGCAGAATCGCTTAAACTGTTTTAATTTGTGATTTCCCTAAAAATAAAACCTTAGCAGCGTCAATGTGATTGCAAAGGGCTCCCGGAGGAACCCGGCCAGGGCTCGGTGCAGGCTGCATGGTTAGAAGCGCGTTACACAAATTCAGGCTGCAGTCGCTCAGTGAAACAGGGGCTTAGTTTAAGGCTACGTGAATCATCACTGATGCAAAATCAAAGTCAATTATGAAGATAATTGAGAAACAACCTGTTCTTATATATAGCTGCACACATGATGCTCGGAGAGGCCTGGTGGATGGAAGACATCGCTGGGAGCCTTGCACGCATTACTCCATGAGCAGGCAGGAAGAGGAGCCAGCTTTGAGTTGCAGGGAGGTGTGAAAGGAAAGTGAAGTCTTAAGATATGTGTCGGCAAATCGTAATGACAAACTGGGGAAAATATGTGCACGGCATAGCTCATGAAAGCACTTATTGTAAATGAGATAATTTAATCAATTACGTTTCCTAATGTACTAAACCGAATGTTTCATTTTCTACTTCTGCACATCTTAAATTATCTTCAGGTGCTTTATGAGATTTAATCATAGTTAATAGAAACTTCATTACCATCAAATGTGCTTTCAATAAATGTTGTGTAACAATGTCAGGAGGTGCAGTAAAATATGGGAGGCTCTCACTGGCAAACACGCACCCCCAGAGTCAGACTGAGAAACGGTTGCGTTGAGACAATGAGACTCCTTGGAGAATGTGGTTTTCTGAAAGGCTGTGGGCTTCGGAGGAGGGGCAGGCTCCATAAGTTCACCTAAGGGGTGGCAAGCATTTAGCTTTCCCTGGAAAATAACACTATGTATTCTTCATCTCCCGCCACTTAGTTGTTTCGTACCTAACAGAGATGACTGTTGAGCATGAATCTGATTGGTTGTAGAGCAGTGGTTCTCAACCTTCGTAATGCTGCGACCCTTTAATACAGCTCTGTGGGTCACGACCCACAGGTTGAGAACTGCTGTTCTAGACTCGGTTACCTCCAGTTGAACACCTCCCTATAACCTTGATCTCAACTTCTTTAAAGTTGAATTTTTCTTTCCCCATCTCTGGACATAATCTTCGCATCTTCTCTATTTGAGTTAGCCCCACACCTTCAGCTCCCATGTCCAGCTCAGAAACTCGGACGGCCTTCTAGATGTTTCTTTTCTTTTCTTCTGCCCAGTACCCAATAAATCACCACGGCCTGACTGTTCTGCCACCTTGATGGGTCTCAGATTCATCAATTGCCGTCCATTTCCACTTGGCTCAGACCCTCCAGCCATTCATTCAACAGAGATTTGTTGAGGGCTGACTGTGTGCTAGGAGGTGTTCTAGGTGACGAGAGTCAGCGCAGAGTGAAGCACAGTTTCTGCTTTCCTGTGCCTCACGATTTAAGTAAACAAACCAGAAAATAAACAGTGCTAAGTGTTCTGGGGATGGTATTAAATGCTATGAACAGAAACCCAGCAGGGTAAGAGGCTGAGGCAAGACTGGAGGGAGGGTTGCTTTTTTTTTTTTTTTTAATTAAATCATAGCTGTGCACATCAATGCAATCATGGGGTACAATGTGCTGGCTTTAAATACAATTTGAAATGCTTTCATCAAACTGGCCAACATAGCCTTCACGGCATTTTCCCACCCACTGTGCCAAGACATTCATATTCCACACCCAGCAAATTTCACATGTACCCTTGCAAGATGCACCTTAGGTGTGGTCCCACCAATTACTCTCCCTCCACCCATCCTCCCCCCTCCCCTCCCCTCCCCTCTCCCCTTTCCCCTTCCTCTTGGGCCACAATTGGGTTATAGCTTTCATAAGAAAGCTACAAATTGGTTTCACAGTAAGACTGAGTACATTGGATACTTTTTCTTCTATTGAGATACTTTGTTAAGAAGAATATGTTCTAGCTCCATCCATGCAAACATGTAAGAGGTAAAGTCTCCATCTTTCTGTAAGGCTGCATAATATTCCATGGTGTACATACACCACAATTTATTGATCCATTCACGGGTTGATGGGCACTTGGGCTTCTTCCATGAGGGAGTGTTGCTTTTGATGTGAGGTGTTCAGAGGTCTTGGTAATAAAATCACATCTTGGGAAGAGACCTGGGGAGCAAAAAGCAAAGAAACAAACATTCTGGACAGCTGCAGGACGTGCATTCGGGGCAAAGAGAATAGCAAAGAAGCAGAAGCAAGAGGCAGAGGTTGCCTGAGTCGTGGTGGGATAGTAGGGAGACCAGGTGTCTGGAAGAGAGTGGCGAGAGGAGAACAGCAACAGACAAGTGGTATGGACAGGAAACTCCGAGGTGTGTTACAGATCATCGTGGGGGCTCTTGTCTCCTAAGAAATGGGAAGCTGCTGAAGAGCAGTGGTTCTCAACCTGTGAGTTACGACCCACAGGAACTGTATAAAGAGTTGCAGCATTGGGAAGGTTGAAAATCACTGATTTAGCGTAACATGACCTCATATTTTCAAGGACAAATCCTAACTGTTGTGTTGAATGTAAACCAGGACAGAAGCAAGGAGATCTCTTACGATAATTTATTATGAAACTAACAGTCTATCAAAATACCTGGGTCAGTCATTAGAAGAATCTAGGTTCAAGATGACTGTGGCTTGGGCCAAATATATGACAATAGGAAGTGTAAAGATGGGTGACAGTCTGGATGTCTTTTGAAGGCAGAGTCAAATGATTCGCTGATGGATATGGTGTAGGAGTATGAGAGAAGGGAAAACGTGAGGGTGACTGGTGGCTTAGGTCCCCTCTCTGGTCGGTAGTCCCTTCCATCTGGTCAACAGTGCGGGCGCTCTCTCATCCTGACACCTGTTATGCTGGCCACAGCCTGGTATGTAGATGGTCTGTAAATAGTAAGTTTGGCTTTTAATTCTTCCCGCCAGGTTCTCACTAGGCCTTTTACTGTTAATGTGAAAAGTCAAGAATTTTGCTTCTACATAGCCAGTTTTCTTCATTCATGTGGTAGATATTTATTATGCAGTTGTCTTATACAAATCATCTTCACGCAGTGAAACATGAAGAAAAAATAAG